ATTATTATTATTATTATTATTATTATTATTATTACTCCGTGCCTGAAGAGTTAATTCTTTCCACGCCTCAAACGTGTGTGTGTGTGTTTTTTCCTTTCCCGACATTAATGATTGGCCACCTGTAAGGAAATGCAAACACGAAGGTCTTGGATACCTGGCAGCTTTAAAACCTCCCCTTTAAGGATTCCACTCGCTCGCTCGGTCGATTGAAAGGGTCACGGGAGACGGATTCCGGAGTTTCTCCACGGGTGATCCTTGCCCCGCGAGCGGGATTAAGTGTTTATTTACCTGCTCACCTCGCGGCCACGCACCACAGAGGTGAGTTTACTTACTTTGTTATTTTTGTTCCGAGTAACTTACCTTTTTTTCCCCCAGTTGTTTTGTCTGTCGTTTCGCCCTCCGTGCGAAACCTGGGTAGATTCGGTACACTCGAAACGCCATACCAGCACTGCATGTGTGTATGTGTAAATATCCGCAGGGAAAACTATCCGGTATCACTCCTGTGCCTTAGCCGAGGTATTTATTTTCTTTCTCAAGCGCCGTTTCAGTACTTTGTTCGCGATTAACTGCTTTTATGAGTTTACAACCCCCGTGCGATTAATAGACCTGGGCAGTTTATGGTGTGTGTGTGTGTTGATAACGCACTGGGGTTTCGTGTCGTGGGTGTCGAAGTATTCCTGAGTTGTCGCTTTGAGGGTGATTTCCTCGGGGTGTTTCTTGTGGACCAAGGCGTCCTTACAGTTTAGGGAGTTTGTCCAACAGCAACAAACGCAGACTTGGGTACTTTATGAAGGTGATTCAGATCAACACGGCGCTTGCCGTGAAAGTTCCACGGGAGTATGAAATGTTCTCCACAACGTTTACAGCAGTAAGTCACCTTATAAATGCGACACGCTAAAATCTCGCCTAATCTATTAAAGTGCGAGGATATGAACCTGCTTAATCTGGGCAACTGTATATTTTACTTTTGTGTTTTTGTCTTTCTCATTATACGTGACCGTCTCTTATTTGTTAATAGTTGGGTTTGTGTTGTGAAGGTACAGTATTGTCTTACTGGCCTGCGAAGCAAATTTCCCATCAGGGACAATAAAAGTCAGTTTCACAGGCTTTTTTATACGTGACCATCTCTTATTTGTTAATAATTGGATTTGTGTTGTGAAGGTATTGTCTTACTGGCCTGTGAAGAATATTTCCCATCAGGGACAATAAAAGTAAGTTTCACAGGCTTTTTTTTCTTCTTTTGAGGAGATGTCTTGGCACATCTGCAGCCGGTGTGAAAGTAGAAATGAAGGTTGAAGGCGGATAGGTGCATCATGTGGCCAGTCACACTCCGGGGCTTTTTCACTGGCCAGCCCTGGACAGAGCGTTGTCGTGGGAGGTGAGGGTGGTTCAGTCTGCAGCTGTAGGCCAGTGCTGGGACCAGACTAGCTGTCGTACCTGCTGCCAGAAGCCAGAGTGCTGGCCGTCGCCTGCACCCTGACGAGGTGAAGGTGAAAGTGGACATGGAAATGGAGAGGCAGCCCTATGGCAATGTCCTCTGGACCCCCTGTTGTTGGATACCAGGGGCTGTTCCCCCCCGTGTGAGTCACGGCCTTGGGCTTCTGCTTTCCGTTTGTGCCGATGGTTCTATCCCATGATGCTCGTGACGCCCTGCTGGGCTCGCAGGCTGCCGGCACAGACGGCCCTGTGCTGGGGTAAAGACCTGCCCCAGACAGCACGCGCTCCTCAGCAGGCAGGATGCTGACTGCCGAGCTGGGAATCCTGGGTGTGGGTTGTGCCTTGTATTGCGTCTGCTGTCTCCAGCACCCCGTCTCTTTCGTGTCTGTTTCTGTCGTGAGTGCACGGCAGTGTTTTCCGAGACTCGCATTTTAAGAGCCACTAAACCCTTCACCACCAGCCCCACCACCGCCGCCTGAGGCTCCTGTACTGAAATCTCAGATTGGGGTGTTCAGGATATGTCGTAAACAGATTCTTGCATAACGCAAATCTTCTTGCCTCGCCGAGTTCTTACCCCTCAGTGACCTGTTGTCTCCAATGAGCCACCGACAAGGGGACTGGGGTCAAAGTGCTTTTGTAGTCGCCGTTTCCGATGGTTGAAGCATTTTGTCACGAAGAGGGGACCTGTCTGTCTCGCATCTGCCTGGCAGCATCCATCGCAGCCCATAGGTCTCTCCTGTCGGGATATTCCCAGCCACCCGAAACTGCCGAGTGCAATCCTGGACTGGCGAGTTGGAGTGGAATGGACGGCTTTTATGTTGAGTTGTGATTAGCAGGTTTCTATGTTATAATTAGGAATACATCGTTAAAACTATTTGTACATTTGCAAATGCATGAGAACAACCAGTTGGCTACGGGTGCCAGGTTTTGGTGTTTAAAAACAGGATTTTGAGACGCACTCCTTCACACACACACACCCTTTGATTCCATCAGCTTTGTTTTTTTTTTTTAATTGTGAGATGACACACACTCGCCCCAATCTTTAGAATGAATTAGGCCGGAGGCTGAAGGGAAACCGGTCTCCTAATTCTCATCGTCTCGTTGCCCCAACCTTTGACACAGTCGTGTCTCCCAGGAGGACACGTCTCCCCCTTGTTTTTCTACCGGCTCGCCCTGCTGTGGGTCCGAGAGAGGGGCTGGGGCGTCCTGCTCGCGGTCCGGGAGCAGGGAACGTGGAGCTGGTCGCCGACTCGCATTCTCCTGGACTCGTCCTACTGGTTCTGCTGCTACAGCAGGTTCCCACCTGCCCGCGTGCCAACGACTCTCGCTTTCAGCTCAGTTTCGGCTCAGAAATCCCCTGAAGTGCATTTTTTTCCCCCCTCCTTCTTCTTCAGCTTTAAATATACGTTTCTGCTTTCAGCGTTGTCCTAAGTCTGGTTTTGTTCTTGGTGAAAAGGTTTAAAGCCCTGTTAAAAAAACAAAACAAACACCCCAACCAGCCCCAGACCGATGCTGTAATTGAAGAGGAGGCTAGTCTCTGAGGCTCTAGTGCTCTGAACACCGAGGACTGGCGCACTTCTGACCTGGAAACTGAGCGAGGTCTCGGGTTCACATCCTGTCGACTGTGCAAATACCTCTCGTCATTCCTGAGCAGCGGTGAGGGCCAGGGGGCCTGATTTCAGTTCCCAGGTGACTCTGTGCTTGTGCACCGCCCTTAGACTTAAATTGCGCTGGAAACAAATGGCCAGAAATTGCCATATAAATGGACAGGACTGACTGAAATCGTTTTCAACTGACTCACCTGCCTGTATAAGGGATTGAAGAAAAATTAAGGGGGAAGACCGACGCGCAGAGGAGGTTGGAATCTGTCTTGGCGGGGGTTGTAGCCCCTGGATGTTTTGTTCCGAGTCGGATGCATTTCACTTCTTTGGAAGTAGAGGCTCGGAGACCGGGGAAAGTGTAATTGTAGCCTCGGGCTGGTCTTGGGAGTACGGGGGAGACTGCTTGGGAAAATACCAAGGGACTGTTGACAGTGTATTTTAATACCGTCCGGAACTGAAAACCAGGAAGAACGGGCATCTCAGGATTTGCAATCAGTCGAAAACCGGCATCAGTCCTATCCCAGGATTCACAGCAAGTAAGAGATTTGCTAAGAAGGTGGGGAATTCTGCCTCGAGCACCTCTTTATATACAAACGATAGGAAAAAAGAAACTATATCGGAGTTTTTATCTTGAGATAGGAGGTTGGCGCACCTTGGCTATCTGCTGATGAGTGTTTACACTTGGCTATGCCCTGCCTGCATTTGTCCATTCTGTTATTTTGTGCCAAGTTATCTTTAATTGATTGGTTTTCAAGGTTTTCGTTACTTCCTGGTGTAACTGATTTCTCTGCTTTTGTTCTGTATCCAATATGTTCCTGTAGAACGTTACAGATTAAGTGGGCCTTTGCATTTTTACAGGATCTTTCTGTGTTTTGTGTGTCTCTAATAAACAGAAATACAGAGCTGCAAATTCAGAGCTTTCTGGAGTGCATAAAGACATAAATTTAATATATAAATTCACGACCGGGAATCACAACCTGTATATGACGGTGAAAGCAGTTCTTTTATGAGAAGCGGTGACTTCTGTCTCTTGTTAATTGTGACTCTCTTGTTAATTATTTATCAGTACTGAATAACGGTTATTTAAATAATTGAGGAACTGCTGGCAGACATTCTTTTAAAATAGTTTATTGTACCTGCACTGCTTTCTTACTGCAGCGAAACCTTTCAGAGCCACATTGCAGAGCAGGTTTCACTATTAATTCCAGGAGTTCCAGCCTCCGACTAATCTGCATTATTTCATTTGGTTTGAAATGGTTAAATCTGTGAATGCAGTCTTTTTTTCTGTCTCTCCATTTTAAGATATTGCAGGTTATTCTTTGCTGCTGTTGTAGTTTATTCCCGTTTGCTGAGTCAGTTTTGACAGCAAAACCTACCAAACAGGCTGTTGCAATGGTGAAACCATTCACATGAACCATCAGTGAGTCGGACCATCATGGATATGCTGTATGGGTGATACTCCTCCAGCAAGCTATGTAAGGTAGTGTGTGAGTGTTTATGTGAGAGAGAGAATAGTGAGCAGTAATGACTCTAGTTACTGAAGGGGGACAATTGGAGGTGGTTTCAGTGTGTTTATTGTGGGTACGCTGAGTACGCCAAAACTGGCACAGTCCCAGCCTCCCTCTCTTGGAGTCTGTGCAGTGCAGTCTGGATCACGAGGAGACATCATGGTAGTATGCGATTTTTCACCATTTCCGCACGAGAAAGCTTGTGAAAGAAGGAGTAGCGTTGAGTGTCGTAATCCAATTCCTGTAGAGCGTCAAGATCAAGGTTTCCAGGTGAAACAAAATCCATCCCCCCATTTTCTTGGGGAACCCAGAGCCTATCCTGGCAAGCAATGGGCACAAGGCAGGGTATGCCCTGAAAGGGACACCAGTCTATCACGGGGCAGAGGGACACAAACGCCCACACACTCGCACCAGACCCATTTTCCCAGAAGCCAGTTAACCCACCAGCGTGTCTTTGGATTGTGGGAGGAAACCCATGTGAACAAGAGAACATGCACACTCTACACGGATAACATCCTGGGAGTTGAACCCGGTGCTCCAGCACTGTGAGGCGGTGATGCTGACCTTTGCACCCCTGAAACAGAATGTTTTGGGGGAGGGGGGGGAATGCAGATATGCTCAGTCTTGGAAGCTCAAGTGTGCATAAGTGGTGGAAATCCCAGTTCCCCCCAGCAGGTGTCGCAATAGCACCACCTCGATGCAACATTCAGAATACCCCACAGAGCATTACAGCCTGAGATAGGGTGCTGCTTTTCTCTGAAGGACAGTACTTGGCTGTTTGACATCGTAGCTCTTTTCTTGATTTATATAGAACCTGATTCTTGCTCAATTGTTTCGTCCATCTGTAATAAGCTTTATTTTTATTTTTTTTGCTTCTTTATTCATTGATGTTCAGATTAAGAGGGCTGATGACTAGATCAGCGGTCTGTGTCCCTTCAGGTTTTTAGGTTAAGGACCTGGCCATTAGTCTCGGGTAATGATTATCCAGCATTCTGAAGCCTGGAATTCCCTTGTGAATGGCCAGTGTTAATTAGTTATGTCCAGCCCCTCTCTATATACCATATTAGTTATACCTGACTTTTCTTAAGGTGGCAGTGCTTTTCCATGAGGCACTGAAGCTGTGGCTTATGCCCAGGTGAGTTACCTCCACCTTAAAACGTCCGCAAACAACTATCAGTGTATGAACAATACAGGGAGGAGCTCAGGGCCTGGATGAGAGAATTTATTTCCCCCAGGCGAGTGCTTGGTAAACGCAGTGGGCTTTCACATCTTTCACCTTTTACTCCCAGCAAACTCGGAAGACCCCCTTTACACCCTGGCGTGACTGGACAAGGACTCGGGAATGAGCTCTCCAGCTTGCTTGCAGGCTCAGGGGGAGTAGTTGTTGGGAGTTTGTTTTTGAGGATGTAGTTTTAAAGACTTTTACAAACGGAATTTGGCATTCCGGTGAAAACTGGCCCACATTTAGAGGGGGCGACAGCTTGATGAAAAAGGAACTAACCCCAGGATGGCGGTGAGGTTCAAGGATGTGGTGAGTGTATTTTGTCTGTAATTGTCTGCGTTTCTACTCATTCTTTAAAGCAAATAATTCACTTGTTGGGGGAATCGGAGGAATCCTACTCCGTTGGGCCCCTGAGCAAGGCCCTTAACCCCAGCTGCTCCAGGGGTGCTGTATAAATGGCTGACCCTGTGCTCTGACCCCCAGCTTCTGTCCCCGCCTGTGTGTCTCATGGAGAGCAAGCTGGGGTCTGCGAAAAGACAAATTCCTAATGCAAGAAATTGTATATGGCCGATAATCTATTAAAGTGAGACAAGGGGTGTGGAAAAGGAGCTCCTGATACTGTAGGTCTCCTAGCGCTGGCTGGTGTCTGTTTCCTTGGATATCTGTTCTTTCAGTCTCTCTTCTCCAAACACTCCGTCATATGCGTGCGTTTCACTTCGGAGATACAAGCAAAGATGATTCGGAACCAGATGCTTCCTGCACCTGGACAAAGCATTCCTTGCAGGCAGAACAAAGGAAAAAGGTCCCCTGTTATTGGAGGACAAGCAGCAGGCAATGGGAGTTACTAATGGGAGTTATGTGACTCCTGTTATCTGGGCCTTGTGTACATTCCAGGCTTGCCTTTGCTTCTCAGTCCCAGATTTTCCAGTGTAGTGCAAATATTTACAAGCTCTCAACCATGAAGCTGTCAGCCTTTGGAGGAGAACCTCTGAATGGCTACAACTATGACCCTGGTGTATTTGTCCTATGAAAACCTCTTTTAGTACATATAGGTCATGAAATGAAGTCATCCTGGAAACTGTTGTGTATTCAATTTGACTGGAAAGATTCGTTCCACGTCGGGGTTGGGCTCCTGTGTGTTGAATTGTTTTTGGTAAATGGCGGAACTTTGTTTCCGAGCTGGTGTCGTTCCTGCCTGGCACAATCTGGAGGTAAAAGGCTTTCAGCCCTGAGCAGGTGCAGTGAAATTACATGTGTAATCCATCTGCCTGCTGATCGCAGGTGTCTCTTTAGTTTTTAGATCTCCCATTCATGGGCATGTACGAAGTCTTTTCAATGTGACTGTGAAGGTAAAACTGACCTTGGCCCTTCCATTGTCTCTTTTCCGGATGTCCATGATTCTTCGATGAGCACCGATGGTCGATTTCTCATGTGCAGCTGCTGATCTGTGTTCTGGACTTGGTCTGGCATTGCCTTAGCTTTTTTTAAAAAGACCTTAAGAGATCAGGACATCGTGTGCGTCTTCTTCCCTTAAGTGGTCTGTTGTGCGACTGAGCTTTTTGGGAAAGGTGACAGTAAGAGGAATCTTCTGCAGAGTGCTCCGGAAAGGGAGCTGTGTTTATGCGTGCAGTCTGCTTCATCCTTCATCCTTCGGCTGGTCTGCCCGTCACAGACATGGCTTCTTGTGAACGAGCTCAGTGCCAAAATGTTTTGCATTGCAAATGGGGAGCAGTAAAGAGGATTTTCACATTACTCTTAATAGTGGCGGCAAGTATTCAAGTCCAGCCCTGGTCTGATGGGGATGAACCTCCATATCCTTGTGTTATGGGTGAGCTTGTAAAATAACCCAGCTCATTTCAGTTTCATTCCCCCCTCCCCCTGCCAGAGGTACATTAGAATCCTGTGGCTCTCGGTTTAGAGTATTATTTGGAAATACTGCCACATCTGGGTATTTAACGAGCAGGAAGAATATAGAATATATACAGAATAAATACATTTGGCTTGCAAATGAATCCCCGATTGCTGCCCTAAGCAGGAAGTATACTGTTGTTCTCTGTGGCATTAAAACCCATTTTTCCCTGTAGCAGAGAGTAAAAATAAAAGAATTACCTTCATAAAACAACAGGCACACAGCAAAGGCATGGTTGGAATTGGTGGTGTGCTAGGTCTTGAAAAACAGAAGGAATCTGGTGGTGAGGTTATTCTGGGGCACAAACACTGTCGTTCTGACTACAAGTCCTTGAGGATCTGCCCCTGTGCTCCAAGGACAGGCCTGCTTTCCTGTAGCACCGATCTCCCCGCTGCAGTCTCGGGTAGAACTGGGTGGGCTTGCCCCCCCGTGCCAGGCGAGCTCCTGGGCTTCTGGCCTGCGCCTGCCCTCGCTCGGGAGATGGGCAGCAGGCGCGAAGGTAGAAGCTTTGATGTGAAACCGAGCTGCGGCGAAGGTGGAACAGCCCACTTATATCTGAGCCCAAACTGGGTGGGAAGCATCGTGTAGTTTGTCACACTGGATTTCGGTGCAGTAAGTGTCTAAGTGAGCAATTGACTATAGGAGCAATAAAGCATAGGGAACTCATTCAGAACTTTTAAACAACAATAAACTACACAGAACTATGAAAGCTTGAGGTTTGTGTCCTTCAGTCCCCCCTCCTCCTCTCCGTCAGGGCACCTCCTCCCTGGTGCTGGAGGGCACAGAGGTCTGTGTTCTCCACCTGCACGCTTTCCGTCTCGCCAATAGCTGAAAAACAGAGATTGGAAGAAACTGGCTGCGCAAGGTAAAATTCCTGATGCAAGGCTCTGACTAAACTGTGTGCTCATTGCCATGTTGCCATGGCAAAGGGCGGTCTGTTTTGAGGAAAAACAAAGTCCTGAACAACTCTGGGCGAAACTCATTCTTTCAGAACAGCAGTGCTCCTGGATGAGTCTTGTTATTTACCTGTAGGCTATATAGCCTTGGTTGTGGAAGCTCTCCTAAACCATTGAGTGACTGTGCACGAAGGGCAGCACTTTCTCTTCTGCTTTTATGATTCTGCTTCATTGTAGCTTTGCATCCCAGGTTATTTGCAAGCGGAATTGAGTTCATCCTGGCTTTCCAGGCTACAGATGGCAGAGTAACAGGGATGGGGACCACGTGCATCCTTTGTATAGACTATTGTGAATGAATGAGGGCATGAGAGCTCACACTTTGTTTATAGAGTGCCCACTCCACTTGAGATAGTTGCTTAGGTGAACTTCGGTACACAGTGGCTTAAGTAGCTGTTATTCGTTTAGCTTTGGCAATGAATACATTTTCTGATATGTATTCTGATAAACAATCCTGATACAGGATGGTTTCTAAAAATCTGGAGCTTAACTCTAACAGTAATGGGCTAAATAGCCCCAGCTCAACTGATACTTTTTGAGTGCATGTGTTTCTAAAAGCTAGGTGCACTCTTAAGGGACACATCCATTGGAATGTTTCTGCATTATATTCTGATGCAACAGTGAGACTTTAAACAAAATGTAATGACATCTGGTGAAAGGTATCTGTGGTATGTTGTAGTGAAACATGGGTTGCAATTATAATGTTATTTTGTTTGCTTACAAAATGAGTTGCGTATTAGTAATGTGATCAGTCAGTAAAATGGAGCTGTCGCTTTGTGAATGGATTCTAGGAGTTTGAAATGTACTGATGGCTCTGCTTAATGTGAAAGAGAAAGCATGCCTAGCCTTACACCGGTATAAAAACAGCAGTTTCAAAAAGCACAATGGTGAATATTATGGGCTTAACATGACTGTTCTTTAGGCTAGGCCTGCGTACTGTATAAAATCAGTGTAGAAGTTGACTTCATTATCTAAGCAGGGGATTTTGGGTAAGAGCCCTGCACTAACAAATATGGTTGATTTCGATTGGGTGCTGAGAAATGTGCAGTTCTTGCATTTCCCCTACAGGTGCATTTACCCCCCCCCCCATACTGCTTGGCTGGGCATTTAGTGTTCGACTTAGACAGGCGAAGATCTGGTCAATTTTCCACATGGCTGCATGAACTGCATGCTGCATGTTTTACACAAGTTAAGTACTCCTGTTTTTCAAAAAGTTCTTTCTCCGTGCTGCCTTTCACCACGGGACATACAGCTTGTGTGTTTCAGTACGTCCACCGAGGTGGAGCAGTACAGGCCTCTTCTCCACTGTTTGAGCAATCTCTGTTCAGTGAAAGAGCAGTACTGTGTGCACAGCTACTCTGCGCTTGCTTATCTTAACTAACCTCCCAGCCTGTTTTTTTTTTTTGGTTTATCAGGAATGCTTCACCGTACCATACTGTACAGGGAAAGGCACGTTTTAAATCTTTTTTTTTTTCCTCTCCCTCTTATTTTGTAGAACCCAGAGATGGAGGAGATGACAATATGGGAGCAGTATACTATCACAGTGAACAAGGTGAGTCTGCTGCAGTCTCCCTTCAGAAGGAGCAACAGGACACTGTTTATAGAGACGGCCTTTACTGACGCTTGCTATCCTTGAGCTGATCAGCTGCCCCTGTTTCACCTTCAAGGATACTGAGCTTGTGGGTGCATGTTCATTCTGAGCCGTGTGGTGACTTTGTAAAGCTAAAGACATGTTTCCACTTTACACCACTGGGTGGTCAACATCCACCCATCTCTGCTGCAGTGCTACCCTGATGGAAATTCCTTTTTTAAAGAAAGCAGTGCCGAAGCTCGGAGCCCCAGCATTTCTCAGCTTTCCAAATAAAACCATAAGCGACTTGGTTTAATGGTAAATGTTAAGACACAAACTGGAGGCGATGGGTAGTGTATTTAAAATGCAGAGCAGGAGGCACATCCTTACGCAAACAGTGGTGAGAGTGTGGAACAAGCCACCCAGCCATGTTGGTGTTAACCAGTACCCTGACTTCTCTCAAGAAAGGGTTGGATTAGATCTTCAGATCGGTTAACTGCTAATGACCAAAAATGTGTGTAATGGCCTCCTTTTGTTTGTAAATGTCGTGTTTTTTCACTTGGGCAAAATGCTTGCAGTTTTGCCATTTTGTGTTGTGTGAACAATTGGCTGCCCAATTCCGGACTGTTGTAGTGGTACGCAGCTCTGGTCCAGCAGAATGCAGGAATTTCTCTTTTAAGTAGATGGACTGCAGTGGAGTGCGGCGCTGTGGTGAAGTTAAGCTCCAGACCTGGAGTGCGGTCTGTGTGGAGTTTGTGTGGGTTTCCTTCTGGTGCTCCAGTTTCCTCCCATAGTCCAAAGATGTTGGTAGGTTAGTTGGCTTCTGGGAAAACTGGCTCTAGTGTGTGTGTCGGTGTCTGTTGGCCCTGCGATGGACTGGCGTCCTGCCCAGGATGTGCCCTGCCTTGTGCCCGTTGCTTGCCAGGATAGGCTCTGGCCCCCTACTGGGCCCTTAACTGGATAAAGCAGTTTAGAAGATGGATGGAAGAACTGCAGTGGAATAAAAGACCCTATTACCCTCCTGCCTTGGGGACCTGAGTCTGGTCTGCTGTAACGTCTTCGTGTGCAGTACAGACCCCTGGGCCACACCTGCGTGTTTGCATAGTATATCCGGCTTCCCTGTTTTTCCAGGATTCCCGGATGGGCTTCGGACTGGCCATATCCGGGGGGCGCGACAAGCCGAACCCCATGACCGGCGACACGGCGGTGCTGATTTCGGACGTGGTGAGGAACGGGCCAGCAGCGGGGAGGCTACAGTGAGTGCTGTTGCAGAAGCTGCCTTTATCCGATTTTCTTTTTTTAAGTGACGCTGAAAGAGTGAAGAAGACCTTGGGACCTCCGTGCGCCCATCGGGGTGCCAGGCTTGCAGGCAGCCCACGGAGCCTGAGCACGTTGGCGGGGTGGGGGGGGACATGATAGAAAGTAGAAATGCCATATGCACAAATGAAAAGGCCTACTCTAAACAACCCAACGGCAACACCATGATTCCCTTTATATGCTTAAGTTGGGAATTAATCCCAAGAGAGAATGTGGGTCTCAGCCCTTCCCCATCTAATCTAGTTAATTAATTCACCTCTTGTCACCCAGTGTACAAACAGCAGAGGCCTCGATGACCTCTAATGCTAGCTCATCTGCAATGGGTTACCGCCAACCTGCCTCTACCTGCTGTCGCACGTGCCCGTCGGAAGAACGGCGATGCCCGCCTTGTTAGACTGCCGCCCGCCCCTGACCGCTCGTTTCTCTCCCCCCCCCACCCCGTTTAGAACCCGGGATCGTATCGTCATGGTCAACGGCATCGCCATGGAGAACGTCACCTCCAGCTACGCCATCCAGCAGCTCAAGACCTGCGGCAGGACGGCCAACATCGTGAGTCTGACCAGCACAGCCGCACGGGGAGGAAGGGACTGGAAAACGGACCACGCCGTTCCCAATTATCTACTCGTTACCCAACATGCTCGGCAGCCTCGTCTCTCTAGTACCTGTTCTTAGGTTTTCGTTCTCCACCTGTGGCAGATCCCTCCTCCTGTCCGTTTGGCGGATCTGTCTTTCCGGTGGGCGTGGCCGACGGCCCTTTTCCGTTTTATAGTTTCCGTTTCCGAAGCTCAAATGGGAAAAGACCTCGGATTTGAAATTGGGAAGGCGCGAGGTCAGCCTGCGTGTTCCTGCTTCGTTCTCGGGACATTCTCGAATCGCGTTTTTTTTTTACGAAATCGTGCTTTTTTTACCTCCCTTCTGATTATTGGTTGGTTGACAACAACCGTTCAGCCCCAATTCAGCCCAAGTTTCTGATCTCTACACCCCAGACACCGAGGGCCTGGGCCTGGCAGTGACTGGCGTTTCTCTCTCTCTCTCCTTCCAGACGGTGAAGAGGCCTCGCACCATCCAGATGCCCGTCGCCGCCCACAAGGCCCCACTGTCCCGCGCCGCCTCGCGGGGCACCCAGCTCTCGGACTCCGGCAGCGAGGGCAACTACTACGGGCGGAGCCAGGGGAGGCGGGAGCGCGAGGCCCGCAGCGCCACGCCGGACCGCAACGGGCACGCTCTGCCCCTGATGTCCGGCATGAAGAGGCTGCCCAGCCAGGACGGCCCGTACAGGCCCATCCGGGCCACGCTGCTGAAGAAGAGAGCCACAGACGGTGAGCTGGCAGGACCAGCTTATTTACCCAAACTAGGGACTCTGGCCTCCTGAAATGGGGATTATAGAGTCATATAGAGTCTCTACGCTGGATAATAAATGCCTGGATTTTTAAATATTAAGGACCAGTTTCCCAAGCTGACTTTCGCTCGCTCATTTCCTGGTAGAGATGGCGACGAGGAGAGATGGATTTGAAACTGTGGCAGGAAGTCACCCAGGGGCGAGGCGGAGAAAGGTTGGGCTGGCTTTGGAGCGGAGTTTGGGGAAAGCCGGCTCGTGTGTTTTTCCCCCTCCCGCTGGAGTCTGGCGGGTCGTGTCGAGGACGGGAGCCGCTCCAAAACCACCAACCGCAGCCACAGCTGGCTCGCAAATCCAGCAGGGACCGAGTCGCCAAGGAGACCGCATCAGAGCAGCTGAGCGCGTCTCCTTGGAGTTCGGCCCCGGGCAGGGGTGTGCGCCATGAGAGCTCTCCAGAGAGGCGGTGTCTCAGCCTGTATGTGCTTTAGGGAAATACTAATACAGTATCTTTGTTTATTTTTCACCTCCTACCAGAATACGGCCTGAAGTTGGGCAGTCAGATTTTCGTCAAACACATGACCCCCACTGGACTGGCAGCAAAGGAAGGGACCCTGCAAGAAGGAGACCTTATCCTGAAGGTCCGTGTGGGTTTGTCTGGAGCTTTTAACACATTTTCTGATGGTCTTTTCTGGTCCCATTGATGAAGTGGGACCCGATGCTTTGCACCCGAGTAGATTTAGTGCAGGGTATACATAGCATTATGTCCTGGGATGGCCCTTCCAATCCCACGAGGCTTTGCTGCACTTGACAAACCCAGCAGTCATGCCTGACCTTTGACCCACGCCCTGTCCACAGATCAATGGGATGGCCACCGAGAACCTCTCCCTGTTGGATACCAAGCACCTGGTGGAGAGGTCGGAGGGCAAGCTGTCCCTAGTGGTGCTGCGCGATGACCGTCAGTTCCTGGTCAGCATCCCAGACATTGAGGACAGTGAGCCCAACAGTGACAATGATGAAGGCAGTCACGGCGACAGCTCTGGGATGGACGGTAACAAATTTAACGGCATTAGCAGAACAAGTGGTTAGCAGGGAGTTTTACCCTTGATGTGAGCACCTCAGATTTGTTTTGTTCTTATTGACCTTGCCTATGCCGGGACTGTTGTATCAGGGTCCCTGGTGTCTTATTTGCAATGTTGAGTTGCAAAGTCGCCATTCTAACTGCAAAGATAGCATCTCACCCAAGCCTTGACCCCCATAGACCATTGAGTACAGGGCCCTACCTACTGTTCCACACTTACAGAAATAAAATGCATTTCTCTATCGATATCTTTCGGCTGGTTTTCCAATTACCCCTCATTTTCCAGGGACATGCTGGCTCATCGAGTTCTCTGAATTGTCCCCACATCCCATCCAGGATCGTGTTCCCTGGCCTGTACTTCTGGGAATGCCACAGTGAGCGTTGTTGTAAAAATCAAGTTCAGGGTTGCCATGACCCTTGACCCTAGGAAGATGCGGCTTTCTGATAAAGAATGAATTGCTGCTTTGCTGACTAAAGGCTGGAACAAAGACTTTGAGATTTTATTTCCTTTTTCTTCTCAAAAGGGGGGAAAAAAAAACAACTCTTAAGAATCCTTGCAGTATGTCTGGTCCAGAAATCACCGAATCAAATCCCACGACTAGTGGTTCTGTGTCCGATTCTTGCGTCTCTTCCATCCAGATATTTCGGATCTGGAGTCGGAGCCCCCCTCCTCCACCAGGAGAAGGAAGATCTCGGGGAGAAAGGAGAGACGAACCGGAAGGTGAGCCCACCTCACCAGAGCAGTTTATTCCACTTGTAGTGGCACAACAGCATGGTGGATTGCATTGCTGTCTCGCTGTGCGAGAGCCCTGGGTTCAATTCCTGGGGTGCTGTCTGCTTGGAGTTCTTATTTTCTCCACTGCTGCAGATCCTGCCTTGCGCCCATTGCTTGCCAAAATAGGCTCTGGCTTCCCTCCTTCTATATTGGATGAAGCAGTCAGAAAACAGATGTATTCAAGAACCCACAGCACAGAAGTGTATATATCATATCTGGCCACCCTTATTGTGTTTGTGTTTGAATGCAGTGTGTTTTTTTTTTTTATAATAGCCCTTCTTGCACCCAGTCCTTGTTCTTCTTCACCTCCTACAGGACAACACCCCCCCACTACTGTCCTCATCCAGCTCGTGCCCTAACCTGCACTCTGCTGTCCTTTCTAAAACAACCGCTTGTCTTTTGCATTGCTGCCTGCTGCATCCTGTTTCTTCCACGTCATCTCTCCCTCTCTCTGTCTCCGTCTCTGCAGGAATCACAAGCCCAGCTCCACTCCGCCCGTCTCCCAGGACTTGACCCCCCTGCAGGTAGTGTCTCTGAAGTCCTCTGTGCAAGCTGCCCCTCTTCAGAGAGGTGAGTCTGGGATCTGTGCCTTCCTCTGTGCACGCTGTCACCACTGCACTCAATCTAGTGTAAAAGAGGACAATACGGATGATTCGAAAGTCTCATCTCTTTTTTTTTTTTCCCCTGCCCATCTTTTCTCTCGTATCCAGAGCCATCGGATACGGATTCGGAGAACGGCTCTCTTCCTCCTCCTCCAAGGCTAGACACTCCCGACAGCAGAGCGCCAAGGAGCCAGTACAGGTAGAGCCCGGGATTAACCCGGGATTGCAGACGGCACAGGGATGATATTCCAGTCGGTTAGACTTGACTGCTCCGATGTAATTCTTATCCCTCTCTCCCCACCAGGGTCTTTCCCGAAGCCATTCCTGCCAAGACCCGCTCGTCTCCCCTCGCTCCCAGGCATGACTCTCCTCAGTGGAGCTCCCCTTCCTCCAGGCCGTCTCTCCGAGGTGAGTGCTGTGGCGAGGAGGGGGTTCTCCTGCGGATATGATTGCTGACCTGCTGCAGGACAAGCGCAGGCTGTGCTCCACAGCGAAGGGCTCAGAATAACCTTGATTTGTCTCTAAAATAAGAGGCCGATTTTGTCTTTTCTAGGATCAAAAAGACTGATTTGATCGTCATTTCTCCCTCATATTAAACCTATTTTAACTAGAGCTTCGCTTCCTGTACCAATTTCCTTGTAGTGACACATCCACAAAAAAACTTTAAACCAAAATGTATTTAACATTAAATAAATAATTAGATTGGTGCTGTTGCTGCACAGCATGTGGGTACAGGGGTTTGGGTTTGAATCCGGCCTGGAGCACTTAGGTTGTTGTTTTCTGTTTCGGTGCTCTGGTTTCTGCTCAGCTTGCAGAGCTGGCTTGTTCAAACTGGCAATTTGAAATCATCCCTGTGTGGTTGTGCTCCTGGGATGAGCTGGCCTGCTATCCAGAATGTCACATCAACCTTGCACACTATCCCACGTTCAGGAGGAGCTCTGGATACTTACCAGGAACATGGAACTTTCTGTTGAAATATTGTTTTGTAACTTAAAACAGATATGCCATGAAGAGCAGTGCTTGTGGTTTGAAGAAAAGCAGAATCCTTAGCTGCGGATATGATGACACCACAGCATCAGCCTCTCCAGAAATCCTCCTCACTCCTGCTCTTTGTCCGTTTTTTTTCCAGGGGATTTGGAATCCGAGTCGGACCGCAGCCTGTCGCCCCCCTCCCTACGGGACAGTCCAAGTGTGACAAGCCAGTCAAGCAGATACAGGTACGGGGTCACGGGTCAAAGGTCAAAGTGTGAGGGGGAGGCTGAGGGCAGTGATGTAAAGCCGCAAGCGACACATCGTCGGACTCTCACTCCGTGCTGGACTGAGCTGCATTGCGCTCGGAACCAGATGGGTGTTCATGGTTAAACCGGAGTAATGGGATTTGAAGAAGAAACCACGGCTCTGCCTATTAACAGCCCTGCCCTACCCGGTCCTGTTTGCTCTCTCAATCATCTGTTCAGCTTGAATCGACCTTATTAAGACCAAAGAGGAAGTATTGTCAAAGCATCTTCTGTTCCCATCCGATTGAGCGTTTCGGCCAAGTCTGAGTCTTCTGCAAGGGGAAGTTTATGGGTCAGGTGATTCTAACAAGGGGCTCGGCTCAATTGGACGGTTCTACTTTGCTCTTTCTCGTTTTGGCTCGTCTTCCAGAGTTCTTCCCGAGGTGACCCAGCCTGCTTTCCGGGCGTCGCCCCTCGCTCTCAGGCAGGACCCCCCCCGGCGGGGGCACTCCCCAGGTGCACCCCCTCCTCGAGGTCAGTCCGCCAGCCGCGAACGCCCCGAACTCGGTGTCAAAGGGGGGGGGGAGTACTTTTGCGTTTCTGGGGGCCGTTTCTTTTCAACGCCCTCCTAAGAGACGGAGTGGGGCAGTGGCTGTCACCAATCGGTCTCGTCCCTCTGTCCTGCAGGACCCTCCGACTCGGAGTCGGACCACAGCTCCCCCGTCCCCTCCAGGTGGACGGACACTAGCCACAGCATCGAGCCCAGGAACAGATACCGGTACGTCGGAGGAGGTGCCCGTCCACAGAGCTCTTCGTGATAATTCGATCTTGGCCTGGTGCGGCTGAAGTCTGCAGTCGCTCGTTGTGCCCTGCAAATTGGGCCCAATTCACTTGCCCTTTATAGGAACGCTCATGCATGAACAAGACCGTCTCCTGTCCGTTTAAAATGTGCAGGTGGTGATGTGATGCATGTGGTTGTTCTTATTTTCTTGTTATTCGTATGGTTCCCATCGTTGTTCTGCACAATGGATTGCTGGAAAGCTGCTGAATGAGATGCTGCATTGTATCTTCTTTTGAAACTCTTCTTTTGAAACTCTTTTTGTCTTCCCGTTCCTCTCCTCCAGGTTGCTTTCTGACGTCTCTCAGCCCAGAAGCCATGAGCCCCCCCCGTCTCTTGAGCCCCCTCGCTGGGTCGCGCCCACAGTCCAGCCCTCACTCCGAGGTGGGCCTAACTCTGCCTGTTCTCCCTGCCCCCCATCTTTTTCCCCACAGTTGATCACAGCTGCTTGTGTGAGGGGGGAAATGCAGTGATGAGCAGCTGGTTGCCACGTTCTGGGTCAGCAAAAGCTTTTAGGAGAGAGGATTCTGGAAATAAGACGACCGGGAGCTATAAAGATTGTACCGAATCAAACTGGCTCAAGGAAAGTCTTTTGTACTCCTAAAAAAAAAAAAAAAGAGGTTTCCTGAAATTCGCCTTCCCTGTCTTTTCTCGCTCAGCCCCCGAGTCCGACTCCGAGTCAGAGGTCAACTCCTCCATTCCCCCGAGACATGATGATGCCCCCGACGGCAGGGGCAAATACAGGTAAGATCGCTCGGATGCAGGAGAGGGGTATAGGACGGAGACAGTGTGAGATTTCGGGCATTTCCTCATCGATCGCTTCAAGGTTGGTGGAAGGCCAGTAACAAAAAGTGCTGCTTAGGTAGAAGTCAGCTAGACACGAGTTACACTGTGCTACGCCTGCCGAAAGGTGTCCTATGAACTCTCAAAGCTTTTGGCGTCTCTGACACAAGCGAAAAGTGCAGTTTTATTTTGTTTGAAAGTGCAAGTGTAGGGTTTGCGTTGCAACATGCTGCGTGCCTCTCGGATTTCATTGGCATGCGGATTACAAACCCGCATGATGACTGCAGTGATTCGCTGCTGTCGTGCTGATGGGCTCGGCAGTGAAGTGAGTGGCGCGCTGCAGAGGTGTGTGTCCGCTTGGATCAGGGGGATTTAACTCTTGCTTTGACTGCGATTTATTCCCTCTGCTCTTCCCAGAGCTTTCCCCGACGTGGGCCAGCCCGTCGGCCCCGGACAGGACTCCCCGCCCCGAGGCCACTCTCCCATCGGACCCCCTCCCGAAGGTGAGGCTCCTCTCGCCACCCCTCTTTCAGGGCTCCCCCTGGTGGACGAATCTTTAATATTATCGGGGTCTGGCAGAGAAGAGGCCGAGATTCACCAGGCTGGCAGAGGAGGATAAATTCCCAGCTCATCTTTCCCTTCCTCTCCGCCCTCTTTCTCAGACTTTTCCGACTCGGAGACGGAGAGCATCCCTTCGCCACCCAGGAGATACGAGAGCAAGGGATACTGGGAACAGAACAGCCGGGGGTAGGATAATTATTCTCATTGAGAGACCAGTCAACCACTTTAAAGGGGTTTGTGCTTGCCTGGAGAGATGAGAAGGAGAGGGTAAGAATCGCAGGGTGGAAGTCAAAAGAGTTTACCTAGAAATCACTTTGCAGTACTGCAGGACTAATATCTTAACCCTGCCATTACCACTGCGCCAACACATGTCTCCAGGGTACTGTCCCTGACCTGCTGTTCTTGGTCTCTGAATTACAGCAGCATAATACCGCCCAGTAATGGCATGATCCGTCCCGGAGTGCCAATGGAGGATGTCTCCGAGGTGCACAGTAAGTACATAGTTTCACCTCTGAATTGATTTTGTACCATTTAGTTCACTGGCGTGATGCAATAGTCAGTGGAAGAGGGCAAGGTGTGTAAGCTGTAGTGCAATAGCGACACCTTGTGGATGCTGGAGGAAGTTTCACGGTTTGCTTCTTCCAGGCAGGGCAAGCGAAGAGCCCATCTATTCAGTCCCCCCGGATTCCCCTCGTGTGAGGAGAGCAAATTCAGGGTAAGTTCATTTTCTCAAAATAAAAAATCGCACACCTTCTGGAATCCTGTACGTACACTTTATACACTACTGAGAGTTTTTGGCAATTTTCTATTCAGATGCACAAAAACCCACATGTCTCGTGGTTGGCCGTGCTGTGTTTGAGAATGGTTTGAGAATGGCAGGCCTCTGCTCGTTTTTTCAGTGCTGGTAAAAGAAAAGATTTTTCCCCCCTTCCCTCTGCGGACAGCTACAGCTCGGACCTGCGGACGGTGGACTTCGTGAAGGACGGCAGCGTGGGCCTCCGGCTGGTGGGCGGCAACGACGTGGGCATCTTCGTGGGCGGGGTGCAGCCTCAGAGCCAGGCCCACCAGCAGGGCATGAGGGAGGGCGATCAGATCCTGCAGGTGAGGCGTCAGGGCGCAGGTCACGCTAGGCAGCAGCCCACAGTGGGGTGGGGGGGGGCTGGGCACTTTCACTGTGAAATGTGCAAAACGAGCGGTAAACGCCAATTGAATGATGTCAGTTGACATGATACACTTTAAACTATTGTACCGACTGGGGCATCCGCATGCAGCTGGTGCCTAGTGGTCATAGAGCTCCGGGGCTCCCAGGCACCCCAGGGAGTTCGGGCTGTGCTGTGCTGGGGGTGTGCTCTGATGGGGCTGTGCCCTCTGGTGCCGGCAGGTGAACGGAGTCGATTTCGGCCACTTCACCAGGGAGGAGGCGGCCATGTTCCTGCTCAACATCCGCAGCGGGGAGCAGGTCGTCATAGAGACGCAGAACAAGATGGACAGTAAGTGCTGCCGGGGAGGTGGTTCAAAAAGACCGGGTGAAAGGTGTGCGTGTGTGTGTGGGTGTGGGGGGTCTTCTAAAACGACTCATGGGTTATATTCTCTTTCCTAATTCACAGAAACTGGGAAACAAACAGCAAATAAACATATTGTACCTTTCCTACCTCTGGGAGGTTTTTTTAAGACTACTGCTGTATTCCCATTACCAGCGAAAGCGACAAATTGCACTGGTCAAGTGCACCTTTCATGGCGTTTGCCATCTTGATCTCCCCCTGCCTCTTGTGTCTCTGGACCAGTTACCCTTGAGCTGAACGATCACCGCCGCGTGAGCTGACCAGTACAGGTCTCGCCACCACAAAGCACAGCTCTGCCAGAGCCTCCTTCTTGAATTTCAGTCTACAGGAAGATTATGCAGTCCAACCTGGGAGACTCTTTCTTCATCCGGACGCACTTTGACCAGGTGGCAGAGGGGTCCCACGGGCTCAATTTCACGCGGGGGGAGGTCTTCCGCGTGGTGGACACCATGCATCATGGGAAGCTGGGCACCTGGCTGGCAGTGCGCATGGGCAACGACCTGCACGAGCTGGACAAGGGCACCATCCCCAACTACAAGAGGTCAGCGTGGTGGTCCTGGGCGGAAGGGGGGGCTATTGACAGTGACCTGGTCAGTTAGCCGGTCAATGTCAAACAGGCTTGCAGACTAAGCAAGGTTGCCAGTTCTCCTGGTAGGCAATTAACCTACCAGGTTGGAGGAAGCCCTAACCCAACGTGGGGAGAACATGCAAACTCCACACAGATAGCCTCAGTCTGGAGATAACCCAGGTCTCTAGTGCTGCAAGACCGCAATGCCACTGTGCTTCCTCTTGGCCCTATTTTTCTTTTCTTTTACTCGTAATTTTAAAATATAGATTGTATAACAAAGACAGCAATATTAATACAATATTAGGCATTAATTAGACAATATGACATTCTTGCATAAGTACACCATCTCAGTAGAGAGTCGTTAAAGCTATAAAAAAGCAGATTCTTAAGGCACTTAAGAATTAATGTAACGTGGTGGCCCAGACTGTGATTATCTAATTATTACTTGAAGCTACAGAGAAAGCGAGTAAGTTGCAGTTGCATTCTGAATCCTAAATCTCTTTGGATGACCGTGGACCTGCATGTTAAATTGCCGTCTCCGTCTTCTCTGGCGCCCCCTCTGCGCTCCTCTCAGGGCGGAGGTGATAGCCAATATGGAGAAGGCTCAGAAGAGCAGCGCCGCGTCCTCCCAGGTCCCGGGGCCCCGGGCCGAGTTCTGGAAGCTGCGGGGCCTCCGGGGGGCCAAGAAGAACGTGCGCCGGAGCCGGGACGACCTGCTGCAGCTCACCATCCAGGCCAAGTACCCCGCCTACGAGAAGGTCCTGCTGCGAGAGGGTGAGAGAGCGGGGCTCTGCCTGCGCTCTGGCACAGCTGGCCGTCAGTCATTAGAGGCGTTATTAGTAAACCTCCTTGCGCTTTTCCGGACCCTCCACTCAAAGGCCTTTACAGGTCATGGGGAATCCCGCTGCCGCCACCAGTGTGCAGCCCCAACTGGAGGATGCCCCAGTCTGCTCCCCAGACACCAGCTCTGAGTGGGGAGGAGAGTGGAGTGATGAAGCCAGTTCAGAGATGGGGATTATCAGGAGGCTATGATGGGTAAAGGCCAGGGGGGAAATTTGGCCAGGACACTGGGGTTATACCCCTTCTCTTTTCAAGAAACATCCTGGAATTTTTAATGACCGCAAAGAGTTAGGACCTCGTTTTGATGTCTTATCCGAAGGATGGTGCCTTTTTTTTTTTTTTACAGTATAGTACTGTGTAATGCTCCAATATACTGGGGCATTAGGACCCACATTGACCACAGGGTGAACAGAGATAGGACCCAACAGCTGGAGAATTGTGCTATTGAAAATAGAGATATGTGGCCTACTGGTCCCACTAACACCTCTTACAGCAGGAACCTGATTCTCCCAGGTTGCACTGCTTTCCCAGCAGGTCTCCCATCCAGATACTGGGCGGGCTCACACCTACTGAGCTTCAGTGAGGCTGGAGGTGTGAGTTGCAGGGTGATGTAGCTGCTTTTTATAGCTTAGCACTATTAGACCAGATTACACATAACCCTTTAAATCTTTCCTTCCGCCATTTTAAAATATGGCCGTCAGCGCACTCGTATTTTGTTTCGTTAACGTCTGGAATGTTTATGGTTACTTGTCTGGGGGTATGTGCTTCTCTTATTCTTTTTATTAAGTCTACCATCATTCACACCCCTCAACTTAATCTCTTTCCTGGTGTTATACACACAGTGTGTTGCCCCCAGACTCCACAGGTGTTCACGGGGCTGTGTATCTCCTCCCTCACACAGCCTCCTGCCAATTCTCTCTTCCAGCTAGTTTCAAACGCCCCATCGCCATCCTGGGTCCTCTGAACGATGTGGCCATGGAGAAGCTGGCTAGAGAAATGCCCGAAGAGTTTGAAGTGGCCCGTAAGTCAAGCGCAGTCGGACCCGGCCTGCACTGGGCTTAGAATTTCATACTTTACTGGGATGATCTGAGCTATGATGTTGGATCTAGGTAACTTTTTCTCTCTCTCCCGTCCCCCTCTCACCCTTCTGTACACAGAGATGGTCCCTCGCAGTGGAGGAGAAGGTTCCTCTTCAGTGATCAAACTGGAGGCCGTGAAGCAGATTTCAGAGCAGGTGAGGAGGTGTGGCAGGGCAACACGAGAATTTCGTGCGATCGGCAAGATGGAGTGGCTTTGTAAAACTTTGTGGGGCGTCTGTGTGGCTTGATCAGAAAAGACGCTGGTTTGGGCCTGAGTGTAAATTGGTACCACCTGTGTAACTGGGATTTCCAGAGGTGCAGTGCACAGTGGCTGGGATGGAGATGGGGGAATTTTATCTCCTGTCTCTCACTCCCTGGGACTCGTCGGATGTCTGTGGTCTTGCAGTATTGTCCCCAAGAAGCACAGCGCTCCTGTAAGCTTGCAATACGTCCGTGAATCCTTGACCTCTGACCCCTTCTACTACAGAAAGGGCTCGGCAGATGTAAACAGAGAGGCTTCCATTTACTAGGATCTGAGCTGCTTCCTAGGTGGTTATTTGGAAAAAGTAGTTCCTTTTGAAAGTAGACGGCCAGACGTTCAGTTGACCAGTTGAAATCCATCGTCTGGCCCAGAACCGTTAAAGCTGGTTTGCTGTAGTTGTGTGAAGACGGGCAGGGAAGGGAACAAGGTTTTGTAATGGTTGGACGGAGTTGTCCCTCGCAGCCCGATCTCAGAGCTGTCGACTCTGGGCCTCGGCGGACCCTCTCATGTGCTCCCTCTTCCCTTCCCTCAGGACAAGCACCCCCTGCTGGACATCACGCCCACCGCGGTGGAACGGCTCAACTACATCCAGTACCACCCCCTAGTGCTCTTCCTGGACCCCCACAGCCGCAAGGACGTCAAGGCCATGAGGAAGAGGCTGTGCCCGGACTCCAAGAAGAGCTCGCGCCGTCTCTACGCGCAGGCCCTGAAGACCCGCAAGTACTTCGCCCACCTCTTCTCCGGTAGGCGCCCGGCGTGAGCTCTCCCTTTCCACGGCAGGCTCCATCGCAGAGCGATTTGTTACTTGTTACTGCTGCTGTTTGGGGTTTGTTTTTGGTTTTGATTCCTTAATGTCTTTGTATCGGCCCATACATATATGCAAATAATCATTTCTTTTTACTTGTGCATATGACATCTGAACTGAGCAGGATGGCCAAACGGCTAGAAAGTAACCTGTTGTTCCATGCCCTGCCGTTTAAAACCTTGAATGAGTTGCTCGTGGTTGAAGGTTTCTTTGTCACTCCCTATATCTGGCTGGAACTCCATTCCTGGAGCTGTAAAGACAGTTTAAATGGAGGATAAGATAAGATCACTTTATTTGCCCTATACAATTTATTGCATTAGGAATTTGTCTTTTCGCATACCCCAGCTTGCTCTCCGTGAGACACACAGACAGGGAGAGAACCTTGGGGTCAGAGCGCAGGGTCAGCAATTTATACTTGAGCAGCTGGGGCCTTGCTTAGAGGCCCAACGGAGTAGGATCCCTCTGCCGGCTGCGAGATACGTACCGGCAACCTTCCAGCCACAGGCGCAGATCCTGAGCCACAGAGCCACCGCTCGGCCCTAGGATGTGGGAAAGGAATCCAAGACGCTGGAAACCTGGCGAGTGGCTCCCAGGTGCCCCAGCTGAACTGCGCCTCTCCCCTCTTTCAGCTCGCATTGAGCTCCAGCCCGGCTCGGACATGTGGTACGAGGTCCTGAAGGACCGGATCTGCAGCCTGCAGACCAAGCCCGTCTGGGTGTCCGAAGTGACGGTAAGGAAGCTCTTGTGCGCCAGCGGAAAAGCAAGCAAGCTAGCAAGGGAGGAACGTTCAGGGCCCTGTAATCCTTTTCAATCCCATAATCCTCCATAGAGGTTTTGTCTTTTCCTGATCCACGCGAACGTTTCACTTGCCCTGAACTCGATGAATACTATTCATTCCAGGTTGTTTCCACCAATTTCTTTTAACCCCTAAACTCATCCCTGGGCAGTATATAGTGGGACATGGAGATCTGATGGAAGACTTCTGACATTGTAAAATGCTTAAAACTAGAATACCTTTGCCTATAGTGCTAACTCTGCAACAGCTGTTGTGTAAATATGATGTTTATCTGGGATCGTCTGCATCAGGCCCTGCTGTTACAAGCAGCCATGTTCCTGCGTGCTCCTCTCTTGTGTCCGGCGCAGCTCTGTTATTTCCCGGGTTTGTGATTCTCCCGCCTGGCGTTCCGCAGCTGGAGAGCGGCGGAGAGGAAGAGCTGGACGCCCTGAGCCGCTCCCACTCCTCCGACTACCTGAGCTGCGACAGCCGGGCCACGAGCGACTACGAGGACACGGACGGCGAGGCCTACACGGACGGCGAGGCCTACACGGACGAAGACCTGGACGAGCCCTACGGGGGCCGGGAGGCGCCGCGGCACGTGGGGGTTTCCCTCGCCCGCTCTTCGGAGCCCGCCGCCGGGGAGGAGGGGCCCCCCGGGTTCGTGCCGGATGACCCCAGGGCCTCCGGGCGCCGGCCGCCCCTCCTGCACGTGCCCGAGCCCCGTTCCCGTCGCCAGGACGACCCCAGGGAGCCGTCCCCCACCAGCTTCTCGGAGGATGACCCCTCCCGTTTTGGAACCCCCGAAGCGTCGGCTCCGCGCCCCCGGTTGGAAAGCCCCCCAAATCTCAGGGCTTCGGATTCCCTTCACTCTCTCCCGGACCCACCCCCTCACGTGACCCCCCCCGGGGGCAGCCATCCGGAAATCCAGGAGGAAGCCAGTCGGGTAAGTTGGATCTCTGGGGATGGCACTACTTGCTTGGAAGACCAGGATGTTTGTGTGGATTTTCCTCCTGTCACAGCTGAATCGCCTTGTTTTTATTTGTCTTTCTGTGAGTTTCTGGATGGGTGAGACGTAGCTAACGGCGGTACTGTGTGTCTTGCAGGCTGTCGTGGCTGAGCCTGAGGAAAAGAAGCCCCCGCAGCCCAAATTTGTGGTGTAAGTAGAGAACCCTTAAACCTGAGCGCCGCTCGTTAGAGAGAGCGGACCTGTTCTCCCTGACGTCCCAGCAAGAGCAGGAGGTGACTCCAGGGGAAGCTCGTGCAGTTTCGCCTGGTTTCCGGGGGGCCTTGCTGGGCGCCAGTTTCCAGCCCCCCCCCCACCCCCGTTCTCTCTCTCTGTGCCCGGCAGGCTGGCGCATCACCAGGCGCTGCAGTGGAGGCGCTCTCAGATCCAGGGCAGCGACAGCTCCGACGACCACGCGGAGAACGCCGTTGCCGCTGCCGACGATGACGACGAGTGGGGCCCAGCCACTGAGCTCTGAGCCCCCCCAGAGCAGTGGGTGGGGGGGGGGGGCGAGGAGAGGAGGTGAAGATCGCAACGGGGCCTCTTCTGGGACACGCGGCCACACGGAGACCCCTGTGGCCCCCCTGCCTCTGGCCAGTTCAGGTGGTCTTCCTGGCTCCTGCTGAAATCCCCCCCCGGAACGACGCGGACAAGGGGGCCGTTGTCGGACCCCAGTGGCTCTGCAGGTGTCGCAGAGCTGTTGGAGTGCGTTAGTTCGTGTGTTTTTTTTTTGTTTTGTTTTGAAGGGCCAGAAAAATATTAGTTCTGGAAACAAAAGTCTCAGGACTTTTTTTTTTAATTTGTCAATGTTTTTTTTAGATTTTTTTTTTTTTTTTTTTACTTGCTTTCAAGAGGATTGCGTCCGGCGCAGGTACCTGTGGTGCGCAGGTAGTTTGGCGTGGAGTCCGGGACATGGTACCGGCTCCTGGGTTTTCCCTGTCAAGCTGGTTTACGAGGGGCGATCCTGCTCTGGGCCAGCCGCATCTCGCCTGGTCTGCGAGACTGGACTGGACTCCTGCTTGTCTCTGGAATGGGTTTGCAGTGTCATGACCGAGTTGCGTGGAAAAGCAGAAACGGATCGGGCCAACAAGAGGGAGGACTTTTGGCACCCCTCTGCTCATTAATGACCTAATCATTCCCAGGATCTTGTCTTATCCAGAGGTTTCTCAAAAAAATCTCAGGTAATCTCCTCCAAACTCGGACCTGGACGTGTGGTTGCTGGATACCAAGGTCTGCTACAAAAGAACGGAACTTTTACATTCTTTCGATATTTTTTTTTTCTCGTTCCAAAAATCGTCTGCGCTGTGAAACAACCTGTACTACTTCAGTTGCAGTTGAACACTTTTTACAATTATTTTAGACCGCTTCTTTAGAATAAACTACCATAATGGCACGTAAACCAAGACTGGTAAAAAATGGAGAACACCAGTCGTTAAGCGTTTCATTTCTGGAAGATCTGTGGCTCTTCTATGGATTGTGACTGTCCTGGCCACGTTTTTTTTTTACAATCACATCAGTCTGTATTAAGTATACGAGTCTAGTGGTACACAGTGATTTTTCACAGCCTTGGCTGGGCGTAAGAGCCTATCGGCATCAATATCACGCCAAGTTTTTTTCTATATTAATGCTTTTCCTTTATCTTTTGCCTTAATGGGTGAGGACGGGCTGGACTGACCCCCCCCAGTGGGTGTCATCCCGAGAACTCGGGGAGACTTGAGGGTGATCTTAGGACGACGAAGAAACCAGGGGGTGAGGCGTGTAGGACCATCTCGGGCAACGATTGGTCAAAGACTATGGCCGTTTCTAAACGTGCTACAATTTCCAGCTCGGGCTGTGATTTGACCTTGTTTTCTGGTGACCGATCTGGACAGCGAGAGGTTTCTCCCCTCCCTAAGAAACGTGTCCAACGGAGCTGCCGGTTGGGATGATACACTACCGACACTGGAACCAAATAGTTGGGGGGAAACAAAGGTTACACTTACATCAATCAGTACGTTGATGAGCATCTTGTCTGTAACACCAATTATTTTTAAACGGAATAAAAATGCTGTAAATTTTAAAAGGGAAACAAATTTTTCTAATAAATATTCAGCCTTTTCTACAACTTCCTAGCTTGCCCGTTTTCTGAACTTGTCTGCGCTGCCAGAAATGTAAAATGTACTTGAGGGGCTTGATATGGTAGGTCTGCCAGTGAGGCAGAAACTTTTTTTTAGGTGTACAAAGTTGATTCATAACATGACTGGATCATATGCTGAGACGCGTGAAAAGCCCCAGCACGTGCTGTTTATTCTTGTAGTCGGAGTTTTAATGCCTCTCGGTACATATGAAGTAACAATGGAGGAGTCGATTTCACACCCTGAACTGTAAGAGCCGACTGGCACTGTAATGCAGATCGCTACTGCAATACAGAGCTACACCGCTAGGGGGCACTGATGCGGCATCGAGTTAAGTTTACATTGACCTGTACTCTCGTCTCCTATTTCCAATCGGTACTTTGATAAATGCAGTTTTGATCAAAAGTCTAGCCTCCGAGGCCCGAGTCGCATGATGTTGTTATTTTGTTTTAAATACATGTATTAGAAATGGAAAGGACTTGGAAGATCAAATTCTTTAAAAGTCGCATAATACCGAAAAATTGACATTGTAATATCAAAACATAACTAGGGCATTCCTAACCGAAGGCTTAGAATTTAAAGTTCAATCCTTTTAAAAATGAACGCTTTGGTCTATTCAAGGAAGCGTCGCGCACTTAAAGCCCCCTAGTCGTTAAATTTGCGGTACAAAAAAATATACGCCACCCAAACGCCTCCTAGCCAAATTGCCGAACCAAAAGGCGAATGTCTCTCCTGTTCATTTCCCCTCATGTCACGGCACAGAAAAAAAAAACCACAACGTACCGACATTCAGTCCCCCAATCGGCTGGTGTCGGAAAAGTCACATGTGGTGCTTTTTTCTTCTGGTTAGAGAAGGGGGGGCAGACTTGAGCGGATACGAGCAGCTGCTTGGCTCAGGGCAGAGAGGCGTCGAGCGTCGCCCGACTGATGCTGGAATCGACCTGAGCGCGCAACCCCACGCAGCGCGGCGCCCCACTTGCTACAGAGAAGCCCACAGTCTGGGGTGCTTGGGGAGGGCGATAAGACGGGCAGAGGCGCACATACACACCTAAGGACAGAATGTTCTCCCGAAAGAAACGAGAACTGATCAAAACCCCGTCGATATCAAAGAAGAGCCGGGCAGGAAGCCCCGGACCACAGAACATCTCCGTAAGTTGCAAAGCGTCTTCCGCGATTTCCGAAGTGCAGCCGGACGTCAGTCGGGCACCCAGCGAGACGGCAGGGCCAGGGAGAGATTGCTCAATTATCCGCACGGACACATTTATCCTGGGGCCGGTCTGGAAGGAAGCGCTATACATATTTTTTTTTTCCCCTCTCCTTCTTCGTGTATTTTTAGAAGCCTCACAATTTTATTTAGGACCGACCGTGCATGAGCCTTAGCTTAGCCAGTCCCAGACCGTGTTCTGGTGCGCTTCTGAAAGCGAGCGATTCCTGCAAGATAGCTAGATGATGAAATTGCCTTTTAACTTAGTTCGGGTACTCTTTTTAAGATTTGCGTCGAACTCTTTTCCGCGACATTGTGTCTGTGCATAGAGGGGGTGAAACGCTACTTTTTTTAAAAATCTTTTTTTAAATGCCGATTTACTTTTTCTAAATGTCAGTTTTAACCTCTGCTTGTAGTTACCGCTTTCTGGTAGCGTTTAATGGAAGGGTCGGATGAATGTTTAAAGAAGTGGAAATCTGCACGTTTTGCAGGAGCAGATGTGAAAGGGTCTACAGTCTTTTTTTTGTTATTTTTTTACTGGAGATCGTGGGCAAAACAGCTTGAGCCATATCTGGTCCCGGGGTGAAAAACGTCAAAATTGAGCGTGCTGTGCATCTACAAAGCCGGAGCGCTAAGCTAGCTGGCATGCGATATTACGACGCCCGTATCTCGTCCACACGGTAACCGAGCTCCGGTGGAGGCGCCTAGTTCTCTTCTCGGGGTGCTATACATTGGGCGAGGATGCTGAAACGGGGCGCAGGGGCGAAAAACAGCTACAGCCCCTACTCGACCGGCCAGAGAAATAAGAAAACCGTGCAGTCTAAAGCGAAAAGCAAACTGGACATCCTGCCCAACAGACCCAACGTGTGGCTCAAACAGGTAAGAGCTCAGCACCCGCCCAGCACCGCCCAGCTCGGGGCAGTGGGAAGGGAAGACGGCCCATTGTTTCAGCCTGGGGGCGACTCGAGTGACACGCCGTCTTGCGTTCAACACGAAGCTGTCATTAATGATGACTGTTTCTAGTTCGAGGGATGGTAGCGTGCATTTTTTTTTCTTCAAATACGAGACCGTTAAAGCATAATGATGTGTTCATTATTATATGCACCACATTCTGCGTGTATGAATTGCACTAAAGGAACATGTCGAACTTTATTCTGAACAGTAAGGGCTAGCGGCTTGTGCCGATTTTAAAACCACGCGTTTTGCAAAGCGTTTTCAGGATCGTAGAAGCGGTGGACACGGTAGTCGTTTCTCCCTCACGGTTTGGGCGTTTTCTGACGTGTGGCGGTTTCAGATGATCGCCTGAAGCCGGTCGCTGGGGATCTGGCGATGACAGTCTGAGTCAGTCCTGATGCGCTGGGCACCCGTTACTACTGAAAACGCCCTGTGATGTCAAATACGGTGCACAAAAAAAATCCCTTTTTGCTCCAGTCATTTTCAGGGTGGTGGGTGGGTGGTTACATTTTTATTGGAAGATTAAACAACAGCTTTTAGAGTTACGGTTCAATGTTTATATCTTGACGTGTTTTTTTTTTTTGTAAGCATCAGTATTAATGACTTCGCTCACAATCAGTCTTCACTTTAGAAGTGCTACCCAGTGTCAATTCCTTAAATTCTTATTTCCCAGCCGCGCTTCCATCTCGAAATTAACTATTAACTAGTACAGTCTAAGAGCGCTTTTAGGTTTCCGGCAAATAAATTTATAAGATTGAAAACTTTCCGACTTGTTTCAGTGAAGAAAAGAGGATTACAATCTCTTATTGGGGCGAAGACTGAAGTCGTGGGGATGGTGATTTTGTGTACTGTAAGTTGGAGGAAGTGATGTTGTCTCGGAGGTGCAGGTGCCTCCTGCGGTCACCTCGGCAGCGCCGCCTGCTGGCCAGGCCGCTGTACTGCTGGGTGGGGATTTTCCGCATCTTGCCACCCAGACACGCCAAACAGGACGAGCACGCAAGAGCGCTTCCGGAACACATGGCGTCCTGAGTGACTGAGTGTGATGGTTGTTATCTGTGGGCTCCCAGTGCAACGTCCTCTTTCGCCTACAGTTTTGGTTTTATCAGTTTTCCTTTCTCTGAGCTGCGAAGCCA